GTAATAATAACGAATCATACGCAAAATATTCTTCTCAGTTACAAACAATTACTTCAATCATGAACAACTATGAGAATGATGGAGAATATATTTTTTCTGGAGACTTTCAGTCATTTCCATATAAGGTATATGATTCAGAACTTCGTAAAAACAAAACAAGGAACAATCTTTAAAAACATCTCTCTAATTTTATTAAATCAAATCAGCTTGTTTTTGTCAATATAATCAACTGTGCTGGGCCTACTTAAACCTATCAACATAAAACATTTTCAAATTCTTCTTACACTGACCATATTGTATCTTATAAACAGACAGAACTATGTTTTACAAATTGTCATTGACCATATTGTATCTTATAAACAATGTTTCGGACAACAAGAATTTTATAAGTGTTCAAAACCTTGGTGGACACCGGAGCTTTAAAAAATTAAAGATAATCTCTCCTTTCACTTTAGACAATGGAAGAAATCTGGTTATAATAAGTATAGTCTACAAAAGATATATTTAATCGCAAAAAAACTTCCGTAAAGCTGTAAAAGCGCCACATAACAAAAAAATCCACTAAAAAAACTAAAAATATAGAACACCTACGCAATAAAAATCCTTAAAAGTTTTGGGGCAATATTCAAAAAATCAAAAAAAATACTAACTATTGACTCTTTACAGTTAATAAAATTCAAAACAAAAACAAAATCGTAGACGACGATTTTGTTTTTGTTTTGAACTTTATTAACTGAATTTAGCCATCATTTCCAAAAACTAACAAATACGCCGCAATATAAAATTAACGAGTTCAATCCTCTCCTAATTCCACATTTAAGTAAAGAGCCTAATTCAATAGTTATCTCGACAGCTGATATTGAAAAATCTATTTATGAAATAAGTGCTGAACATCTTAAAAACTCTCACAGCAACAATCTTCTTATGTTACTTTTGTTGTTTTAAAACGGTTAAAATGTTAACAAACGGAAAGGCTCTACAATGTTTATAATAACCGCCACAATTATTCAATAAGTCAACTCTTATAAAACAACACTCTCATTCATTCCCATCAGTTCGGTTTTAAAGAAAATAGCTCCACTATCTATGCAGAATTTCTTCTGAGTAAACAATAAAGCACTATAAACATAATAACTCATCAGTATATGTATGCAGTCTAGACCCTCAGAAAGCTTTTGACAGTTGCAAATGGGAATTAAAGTTATTTTTGTATTATTAGAACATCTGAGGATATTTGACAAACTCTATTACCAGTAAAAAATCCCATTATCTAAAGTTCATACAATCTCATCACTATATCAAACAGGTACTTCTAATATATCATATCTTGGATGTAAATTAGGGAGTGCGTCAAGGATCCATACTATTGCCTCATCTCTACAATTTCTACATTGAAAATCTTTTAGAGAAAATTGTTTCAGAATCAAAAAATGAAACTTCAATAAATGAGGTATACACAGGTGTCATTGCGTATGCTGATAATATAGATTTATAAAGTTCCACTAAATCTGGTCTTTAGAGTCTTACTAACATTGTTCAAAAGTATGAAATATCGAACTTTATTAAACTAAATACAGAAAAAACAAAGTAGACGATGTCAGCCATTCTTTTTTGCAACAAACTAAACCTATTTATCAGGCTTCTGCTCAACCCCAAACGTTACACGATTATACGGACTCAAAAGCCGTTAATGAGCAATCAACGGTCATTTGTGGCTGAAGTATTGATAATAAGCAAGAAAGTTGGTATAAACATGCTCCAATGTATGATTGAGGATAAAAAAATTATAATTGCACGCCCTCAGGAAGTATTGGAGGCTAATGTAACTAGTAGTGTCAGAAGTGTAATTAGTATTGCCAGAAGATTGTAGTGAAACTTTAGAAGAATTTAGTTTGTTTATCTTAAAATACGCTTTTAATTTAATGTAACTATTCTTACTTTTGAATATTATTATTATTATTATTTTCTAGCTTTTCTTGTTTGTTTTCATTAATTTTTTCTTTTTTCTTATATTGTTTATTATTATATATACTTATTATTGTTTTTATTATTGTTATTATAATAATTATTATTGCTACTAGTATTATTATTATTATTTTTATATATCTATATAGTTTGTTAGCTTAGTTACTATAATTTTACTTATTAACTTATAATACTAAATATAAATTTAATGATTCATTATTATATTTTCCACTTATTATAACTATAATATTTTACTTATAATCATTTATAATTCATTATTATTGTAATATAAATTGTTTTATTTTATACTTACAACTTATCATTTAACCAGTTATAACTTTTTTTAATGTATATTTACGTTATTCTTCTTTTACTTTATTAATAGTATTTTTTCATTATTTATTTTAACTGTTAAATAAATATTATTTTTGTTTTACTATTTTATCAACTAAATTATATTTATATTGTTAATAAATACTATTATTATTTTTATTATTTTTGGCTATATTGCCGTTCATATTACTCTTTGTTTCCTTATTTCAGTTCATTCAATCATTTCATTTTATAAACTGTACCACTTAAATGTCTACTCACTGCAAAGATTGCTTCAAGAAAATTAATAAAAACCATCACTACCTTCAATGTAATCATTGTCTAAACCTTTTTCATAAAAAATGTTGTTGCCTGAATGATATTGAATTTAGAATATTGAAAAACTCTAAAACATCATGGTTCTGTATTTCATGTAAGGAAAAATTTTTTCCATTCAGTACATTATCAGATAAGGAGCTGCACCTGCAAACAATAAATGATAAAGTGATTCATAATAATGAATTCGAAAACAACAAATCATTTTTCCCAAACACCATACAGTCTAATCTTTTTAATAAACTTAATGATTTTATTTCCCATCAACTTAATAATAACAATAACAATGACGTAAATCTTGAAGAAAACCCTATTAATTGTAAATATATGGACATAGAAAGTTTTAACTCTTTTAACATTGACAAAAATAATTTTTCTCTTTTTCATTTAAATATTGCTTCTCTTGTTAAAAATTTTGACGAAAGAAACTCACTTTTATCTCTTATTAATCATAAATTCAGTATTATTGGCATAACTGAAACTAAACTAAAAAATGACATTCTACCAACTATCCCATTAAATCTTACCGATTATGTTTATGAGCACACTCCGACAAAATCTTATTTTGGAGGAGCTTTTCTTTACATATCGAATACATTAATTTACAAACTTCGATATGATCTTAATATGCTTAAACCAAAACTTTTAGAATCTGAGTTTGTTGAAATCATAATTCTTAAAAAATCAAACATCATTATTGGCTGTATTTATCGCCATACTAGTATGGATGTTTCAGAATTTATTAAATCATATTTAATTCCACTTTTTGAAAAGCTATCTATGGAAAAAAACAAAACTACTTTTTTAATAATCGATTTTAATGTCGATCTTTTATTAGTAAACTCAGATAATTCTGTCTCTGAATTTTTAGAAACTATTGCTTTAAATAACTTTCTTCCCTTTATTTCATTGCCAACAAGAATCATAAATCACTCCAAAACTCTAATTGATAACATATTTTCTAATGCAACTTCTACAAATATTTTTGCCGGTAATTTTACTTCTACGGTATTAGATCATTTGCCCCAATTTTTCGTCGAAATTTAAAACAAATAAATTGCGTCGAATTATGTAGTGATTTCTCAAAAATTAGCTGGACTAATGTAATCAATGTCAACGAAGGTAAGACTAATAAGTCATTTGAAGAGTTTTCATTTCTCAAGTTTCAATTCTCTTTTAGATAAACATGCACCATTGAAAAAAGTCAGCAATCGCTGCTTATCAAGGGGTCTCAAACCTTGGATAACACGAGGAATCTTGACTTCTATTAAAATGCGAAATAAAATATTTAACAAATTTCTTAAAGCAAAAAATCCTAATAACAAACTCAATCTAGAAAAATCTTATAAAACATATAGAAACTTACTAGTTACTCTCATTCGTTGTAGTAAAAAGAACCATTACTCTAAGTTCTTCTCTGACAAT